TTACCAAAATCAGCCTTATTTTAAGTAATACTAGTCGTGCCTACCCGCCCCCTATTTTCTTAGAGGGTTTGTAATTTTCCACAGTTTTAATTATATGCTCTTTTGTAGAGTGAGAATGGGAATTAATAAAATGTAGGCTGTTAGAAAAAGGGTTAATAAAAATGTTTTGTTTTATTATTTGCTGTAAGATTTATTTCTTATTTCAGAAGAAAAACATTAGAGAACGGGTGGGTGGTCGGGGCTAAGTTTAACCTTTACCTAAAGAGTCATATATAAGCAAGCAATAGCCTCCCCCCCACTCACCCCCTCTTTATTCCAGTGATCCCTCTTAACATTGTTCAGTCATTTACCTAAATCAGCCTTATCTTAAGAATTACTAGCCCCGCCCACTCACCCAGCATTTTCTTAGAGGATATGTATTTTTCCAGAGTCAGTCTTTTCTTAGCAAATACTAATATGCCCGCCCACCCACCCTTTATTTTCGTAGGGATTGAGTAATTTATTAAAGTCAGTCCTATCTTGTCAGGTACTGGCCTCGGCCACCCGCGTTGTTCTCATTCTAACGATTTCATTTTTATTTAGTATGAGATCCATCTTTCATTGGCACTAGATAAAATGAATCACCGAAATAAAGCTGGGGTGGGTGGGCGGGGTTAATTATATGTTCTTTTGTAGAGTGAGAATGGGAATTAATAAAATGTATGCTGTTAAAAAAAGCGCTAGTTGTATTTTTTTGTTAAAGTATTTGCTATAAGATTTATTTCTAAATTCAGAAGAAAAAAATAAACGGGTGGATGGACGGGGCAAAGTTTAACTTTTTCTTATAGTGTCTTTTATAAGCAAGCAATAGCCTCCCCCCCACTCACCCCCTCTTTATTCCAGTGATCCCTCTTAACATTGTTCAGTCATTTACCTAAATCAGCCTTATCTTAAGAATTACTAGCCCCGCCCACTCACCCAGCATTTTCTTAGAGGATATGTATTTTTCCAGAGTCAGTCTTTTCTTAGCAAATGCTAGCTCTGCCCGCCCACCCCCCAATTATTTTCTTAGGGGTTAAGTCATATTAAAGTCAGTTCAATCTTGACAAGTACTGGCCCCGCCCACCCGCGTTGTTCTCAGTCTAACGTTTTTATTGCTGTTTACTATGAGATCCATTTTTCATTGGAACTAGTTAAAATGAATTCCTGAAATGAAGGAGGAGTGGTTGGGGGGGTTAATTATATGGTCTTTTATAGTGAGAATGAGAACTAATAAAATGTAGTATCGTAATTTTTTGTTATAATATTTGCTGTAAGATTTATTTTTTATCAGAAGAACAAATGAGAGAACGGATCGGTGGACGAGGCCAAATTTAACTTTTTCTTAGTTTTTTGTCAGCAAGAAATAGCCCCGCCCACCCACCCCCTCTTCATTTCAATGATTACTCTTAATATAGTTCAGTCATTTTATTTTAAGTAATACTAGCCTCGCCTATCCGCCCTGTATTAGGGGGTTTGTAATTTTTCACAGTTTTAACTCTCTTTTGTAGAGGGAGAATGGGAATTAATAAAATGTAGGCTGTTCAAAAAAAAGCGCTAACTATAATTTTTTGTTATAAGTATTTGCTATAAGATTTATTTCTAATTTCAGAAGAAAAAAATAAACGGGTGGGTGGGCGGGGCTAAGTGTAACTTTTTCTTAGTGTCTTTTATAAGCAAGCAATAGCCCCGCCCAACCAACCCCCCCCCCCCTCCCTTCATTCCAGCGATCCCTCTTAACATTGTTTAGTCATTTACCTAAATCAGCCTTATCTTAAGAAATACTAGCCCCGCCCGCCTACCCAGCATTTTCTTAGAGGGTATGTAATTTTCCAGAATCAGTCGTTTCTTAGCAACTACTAGCTCTAGTGAATCAACGAAGACGACGCTCTATAGTATAGTACTTCTTTACTACTTTAAAGTGTGGGCTCACCCTAAGAGACGTCCGTCATCGTTTCTCTGGCATTGTAAACTTTCCTAGAAGTAATTTCACCACGAAAGGGTACAGGGGCGGGGCTTAAGTTGCGCGACTTGTAGCCGGGTCATCAGTAGCGTAACATCGATGCATTGAGAAGGGAGGCTCGGCTGAGTTATACTTCTTTCAAAAACAATAAAAAAAAAGAGCAATTTCTACAAAAGAATACAGACAACCATTTAATAAAAATAAATTAATTTGTTTGTTAAAAAAATAGACTTACCTACATAACAATCAATTATGATAATCTATCACACAAAATTTGGTATTTTTAATTATTGAACGCGTTTATAATGTGAGGGATTCTAGCATGAGTAAAAATATACTATTTTATAGTCGACTAGTCTTAAATCAACAGTTAAATCTTTAGATAAAAGCGGGGTTTAAACTCTGAGAATAAGCAACCTATGACTATAATTATATGGTTTTTAATTTTCTGGCACAATTTATCAATACCGCAAAGTCGGATTATAATAAGGCTTAGCGTTTTCTGTCTTTAACGTCGAAGTAATAATCACAGTTCATATTCTAGAATAATTGTGGTTTATAACTAGAGCTTCGACTGCACCGAAATTTAACAGTTATTATTGCTCACTAAAAATTACCTTTTTACTTATTTTACTTACTTTTTTATTCAACTCATACATCAAATACACAGCACTAACAGTTGTTTAAATTCTTTTTCTATAATGTCAACGCTAGTAAAATAGAAAAGTGATATTTTTATTAACCGCAATATTTTAATATTTCAAAATCGAAATATTCATCGCCGCTGCCACTGCTTGCACGATATTTGTAAGGCCAAACCAAAACAATGTTCTGCGCACTCCCACCACCTGTACCCTTTCGTGTTGAAAGCTACTCTACCTACGTAAGAGTACCTGTTTAGATTAGCACCTAATAGATTCTTTCACATTCATGCTAACGTCACAGTAGATCAGTAACGAAACTTCAGCAATATTTGCGGAACGGGTGTGACCTTGGGAGCCCGTTCCCGGGAAACACGAAGATTCAAATATTTCGTAGCATTCGTATGTGATTCATATAATACTAATAATAATTGTACACAAAAATAAAAATGGTTGGCATGTATTAGTGACATTGGTCATTTTTTTCTTTCTTATAAATTATTAATATATTCAAGCAAAACATTTTTATTCAATTTTGACGTTTTAAACTGCGTTTATTAAAGCCTTAACAAGTCTGACAAATAAGTTGTTATCCACAAGTGAATTGCAAAATTTTTAATTCACTCTTAATATTTTTAAATCACTCACAAAAAAATAAAAAACAACTTCAGGAACATAAACATTTTGCTTATTATTTTTAATAGTTTTCACAGAATACAATTTGTTTACAATTTTCACTAAAAGGTTGCTGCAACTAAATCAGTATTGTTTGACATATTTGTTTGGCTCTGTGAGGCGTCAATTTGGGAATTGTATAAATCCCACACCAATAGAATTCCAAAGAACGTTTCGGAAACTATTTACTACAGATTATTTCGATACAAGTGCAAGAACCAACTGTGAAACACTATTTTATTTGAAATGAAAAATTTGCTAAGGTGTTCTTTTAAACAAACTTCCACAACACATCTTCCCTGTATTCCGGCCTCTTCAACAATCATTAAGTGATGTGAGTTACCGGAAACTCACCTTGAAAGAACACAACTGTTTATGGTATGTTTGTGGATACTCATTAATACGAACATTCTTACACCACCACTTCTGCGAAGTTTGTGTGAACTTTGCACATTCTTACGAAGTGGTATATACATCCTGTTTTAATTGTGTGACATTTTAAAGTTTTCAATGAAGATGTGATTTTTGGCGATTTAATGATGCCACCTAAACATTTTGCAGTTTATACTCCGGTAGTGGGTAATATATTTTGTGAGTTTTTCCCAATTTATGCACTGTATTCGTTAACTGGTTTGCGGCTAAAAAACGAACCACACAAAAATACCATTCCACCACCCCTGCAAAGACTTTCCTCTTGATTACCTCGTCTCAGTTTTTATTAGAGTTAGAACTTTTTACACACTAAAATTTAAAAATAAATCTTGGACCGCTCAAACACGCACACAGCGAAAATTAAACTATTTCGTTTAACCTGCAGTTTGTTGACCTCTTTAGCCTGGAATTTTCTAGTATTTTTTACATGTATCGTAAGACTGTGTCGTAAGCATCTATTACTTTGTTAAAATAAATTTTACGTTTGTTTTTAACCCCATAACCCAACATCCCGTATGATTCCGTAAATAATATGACATTTCTTGTTGACAAAACCAGACAAAACGTTCACCGAAAACCTTAAAATGAAAGAGAAACTATGTTCTTCAAGGTCGGAGCACCTTTAGTGACGCCAGTGACCTCTTTATGTTGTTCCGTAAGCTCCCCATGTATTTCTTATGGAGTCAGCTGAGACTTTCATAGCCCTGCTAACGTGTTGACCAGTTCACTTAAGTTCATGTGTCTCTATGTTATTGTTTGCGATTTAAAAAAAATAATTTAAAAAACCACCCCCATCTGAAGTGTGCATGTTAAGCTACTGACTGACAGTCCGTTGTCAGTTTCTGATGACTCACCATGTTGAACTTAAAATAATCCGTCTCTACTAGTTATTTTTATGTCACCAATATTTGAATTAATTGGTTTATTTCAAAAACATCACAAACATTTCAGTTGAATTGAATGAGTCGTTTTTTTAGATATTCCATAAAGTAGTCAGTTTCAAATGTTAATTTTTCTTGAGGTATATGGAACTTAATTCCCAGAATAAATCACAAGTTTTCTGATCTAATATCACTTTTAACAAATAATTAAAAACCACGTTAAGATGACATGTTCCATGGTTCAGATCAAATTTCTTTAACAACTATTGTTTATGAAATTGACGTTAGTTTGTTCGTTTTTTGTTTCTCGTGAAAATAATACTAATTTATTCTTAGTTCTCAGACCCTGCTACTACACAAACTACATATTTGAAAGATAATATTACATCCTTTAATGGAATATTTAACTTTATTTAAAAAAATAAGTTTTTACAAAGACTGGGTTTTCTTCTTTTTCTTTTTAACCCCACTTTCTACTAATGACTTTTGTTTGTGCTTTTTTGTTTTCTTATCTGTTACAACTTCCATGTTACTGAATATTTCCTCATATTCTTCATCAACTATTGGTGCATCAGGAACTTCTTCTGGTTCCTCCTTAACTAATGGTTTCATCAATACTTTTGTTAAATTTTGTTTGAGGTAAACCTACAACAACAAAATAAACTAACAACAAACACAAAAGAACATAATACCTTGTAAACTAGCTCTTTAGTTTCTAAATGGTGAACCCTTAAATATCGATCTAAACTTGTAGTTGCTACCAGTGGTTCTTGAGGATCACAAGCTATGCTAGTCACACTACCAGTAAAAGTAGTGAATGTTCTGACACACTTCCCAGGAGCTCGTAAGTCTAGTAATTGCATGTAGCCCCTAGTAGTGCCCACCAAACACTGCCTAGAAATTAAAAATTACCCTTTCATTCATTGCCAAAAACTATATAACAAACCTTTCCCGAAAAGCACTTGCTATGCAAGTATAACAGGCTTTCTTCTCGTGAAATTTCACAACAGGCCTTCTCTGAGCTCGTTCATCGTAAAGCAGAACATGTCCTTCCTTTGTGCAGCAAGCATTCAGTTTTTCACTTTCTGAAAAGCTGATTAGTCCTTTAATAGATGTTGGAATGGGTAAATTCAATTCATCATGACCAAGCTACAATAAAGAAAATCAACCATATGTAATCCCACCAAGTAATGACTTACGGATTTAGCCTTGAATAAACATTGCTTGGTTTCAAGATTCCATAACTTAAAATCGTTACATTCACCTCCTGTCCCCACAACATCCTCTCTATTCTTGTTATAAATAATAGCTTCAAGAGTTCCTTTTTCTTCTAAATTTATAGAAAAGTAATCAGACTTTTTCCCGTTCCAAAGAGTTATAATCCCATCATGTTTTGCTATTAGAATTGATTTGTTTACTGGAGCAATACCCGCAATGGGGCCTTCACCTTCTAATTTACTAATTGTTTTTGTGTACTTATTCTGATTCAAGTTGTAGAGGTGTACTTGTTCGTTTTTATAACCAACAATGATTTCGTCTTCAGATCTCCCCCATTCCAAAGCTGTGATTTCAGACTGTTGTTCTGGAACACTGTAAGCTACTTTTTCATCTGGTTTACAATAGCTACCTAAAACAAATGTTTAAAACACGTGAGAAATTGAGGTTAGATACTTACACTGTAGCACTCCTCGAGTAGTTCCCACATATATGCAGTATTTGTTAGATATTTCCATATTTTAGCTACTGCAGTACATTCTTTTGCATTTGTTTATTGTTAATTAACTGTACATTCGTACAAACACAATTTCTTTAAAAAAGCTGAAGTTTTGATCTCGTGCTGTCACTGCTGTCACTAAATTGTCAAATCAGTCAAATGTCAAATTCTGTCAAATTCCTAACCCCGCAATATTTATAACAAATTTAAATTTTTAAACTGTGATAGCAACAATATCAGTATTATTAAGTATGTGATTTAAAATTATATTTTATATATATATATATATATATATTTAAACAAATTACTATTCAAGGTAAAAGCTAAATATAATAGTAAACGATGCGCAATTGCGCAAAATTATTTTAATATGTAACATGTGTGATGGAAATAGCTACCCACCACAAACCACAAACCTTTAGCAAATTCCTCCACCTACTTATATTACCTTTTCATTGAAAGAGACAACTCAACCCACATTTTTGGTCATAACATACAATAATGAAAAATAGTGAAGAGTGTGTTCCATGTGTTCCTTTAAATGGCTGCAAACAAACCACTCGCAAAATGATTTTTGAAAGTGTCTCAGTTTTTACGTCTTTCGGAGTCATTATTACCCTACTAAGTTTGTACGGCATTGTTTATGTAGTTGACAACACTCTACCTACACCCTTGAAATTAACAGATGAGGTAAGTACCTTTCTGTTTTGAAAAACGACACAAAAATCCAAAAACCCCAAATAGGAAACTTATCCGGACTCCTTCATTGCTGAAAGAGCGCAAAATGATCTTAAGGCACTTACAGGAATAGGATCACGCGTGGTGGGTGGATACAAAAATGAAAACCTGACAGTAGATTTTTTACAAAATGAAATTAATTCAATCATACACGAAGCTCATACTAATCATAAAATTGAAATTGATACTCAAGTTGTAACAGGTGCTCACTACCTCGACTATAAACCAAATGGTAAAATTGTTCCTTACTCGAACTTACAAAATATTGTAGTAAAATTATATGCGGCAAACGATACTTCAGACAGCGTTTTAATTAACGCTCATTTTGATTCTGTACCCACTAGTCCTGGAGGCAGTGACGACGGTATTAATGTCGTTGTTATGTTGGAGATTTTAAGAAAATTGTCGAAAGAGCCTCAGAGACCATTGAATAACGTAGTGTTTCTCTTTAATGGAGCAGAAGAAACTTGTCTTCAAGCCTCCCACGGATTTATTACTCAACACAAGTGGGCTCAAGACTGCAAAGTTGTACTTAATTTAGAAGCAGCAGGAGCTGGCGGGAAAATAATATTGTTCCAGTCAGGACCCAAGACTCCTTGGTTAATGAAGTATTATGCGCATGTGCCGCATCCGTATGGGCAAGCTGCTGGAGAAGAAATTTTTCAAACCAATTTATTACCCTCAGATACTGACTTTCGAATCTTCAGAGATTATGGGGGTTTAGTGGGTACGTGAATAATTGTATATTCATGGAAATGTTCTTAAATTGTCTTTATAGGGTTTGATATGGCATTTTTTAAGAATGGATATCGTTACCATACCCAGTATGACGATTTTGAACACATACCCCTTGGCTCTTTTCAACATGTTGGAGACAACGTGTTGTCTCTAGTAAGAAGTCTAGCAAATGCACCTGAAGTAGCGAGTCCTAAAAGCGATCCTGGAAAGGTCGTATTTTTTGATTTTTTGGGATTATTTATGGTCTCATATACACAAACAGTAGCGTCTGTTATAAATTTATGCGTTGTTGTTTTTTCCTTTGTAATATTTGTTTTAAGTATACATAGATTTAAGCTAGGTCTGTATGAGCTTTTTCACGTGTTTGGGGTATATTTTGCGTGTTTCAGGTTATACAACAACAACTTTGAAGTATCTGGTTTTAACATTTGGAACAATAATTGGAGGATGGATTCTGGCTGGAGTTTTTGTTATTCTTCTAGCACTTTTGATAGATAAAATTGGATATTCAATGAGTTGGTTTACAAACACTTGGCTTATTTTTGGGCTCTATGTAATTCCTACTGTAGGGCTGTCCACATTTCCGTTGTCTATAAAATTTAGGGTGAGTGAAAGTGTGGGATATTTAAAATCTGTAATGTGCATAATCGGAATCATTGACATTTGAAAAACACAAGAAAAAAAATGTGGTCATTTTTTACTTTAGCTGTTTGGGATTTTCCAAAAAATCCATAGCATGCATACTTCCAAACTACGCTATCCCAGTATCACATCACATATCGGTTTCTTGTGCAAATGTTTCCTTCCCGCAAAAAAAATCAATTTAACCCATTACATACAATAATAATGCTAATAATATAAATAACGTTCCCTTTACGTTATAGGCAACCACAACTACATAGTGTAAAGTTTAGGGCAACAAACGCGTTTAGAAAAAGCAAACTTTTTAATTATCTTGTGATTTATTTTTATTTACCGAATTGTCGATATAGATGTTGTATAACGTATAACGCAAAAAAAATTGGCGCCCGAGTACACCTACCATCAAGGTTGCCGGAACTGGATAGGAAAGGCATTTAATAAACCACACTGAAAGTTCTAACGATTCTAGAAGTCTAAGTATATTTCTACGTATTGAAGTTACACCGTCTACAAAGAGTCGTATGCTATTTTTTATTCTTCACGCAATAATAGAACTAAAAGTTATTATATATTATAATTATTTTGAATGCACAATTTTTTTATTCACTATTTAAAGCTTTATATATTCTCAAATTGAAAAAGAAATTAAAAATTTCGCCTATTTATTCGGTATTATTTTTTTTTACAGTAATGCTGCTTTTTAGATGTTAAACCCCAACGTTAGAACACACATGCAAGCTAACTGCATGAGGATGATTTGGACCGTTATACTATTTTTCGGAACCGTTTTAGGCATAAGAGCTGTCTATGCCTTAATGATACCCGTGTTGTTCAGCTCAGTAGGATTTGTTTTCGTCTATGTACTTAAATTACAACACTCAAGTAAGAAGCCGTGGTAACTTAAATATAAATGCAATAGATGTGTTACAGTACGAAAATGGCTGATACCATACTTAGCGAGTTTAATAATTCCAACGATTTTTTTAATGTATGGTACACTAACAATTTTCTCCTTGTTCATCCCTATGACAGGTAGAATAGGGCCGAACAAAAATGTGGAGGTCATGATAGGGATATTATCTCTCTTCCTCACAATTGCAATCACTTCTCCTCTGGTACGTACTTCGTTTAATTATTTTTTTTTTTTAATTTTGTCATTTCCAGGTTGCTCTTGCAACAATGGTCAGAAAGTTTAAATATCTGTTATATTTTTTCACAGCGGTATTCGCTTTAACGTTTATTATAATTTTCACACCTTTAGGATTCCCATATTCTGATCATAACAATTCTCCTACTCCTGAAAGATACTGGATTATAGTAAATCATCAAAATCAAAAAAGAATTTTTATTTATTGTAACTCTGCAGCATACCCAAAGACTATTCCACAACCAACAAGGCGTGATAGCGCAACAAGATTCTGGATATTTTTTGCTCAATCTGGATAGACATTCACCATCAATGGTAAAGAACATGGTTAAAGAAATTGGAACAATTCAAAGCATAGACCAAGACTGCGAAAACTATTTATTTTGTGGTTTGCCCTTAGTACACTCAAGAATGGTACAAGTTGTGTAAGTTCTAACTACTGTATGTCTTTAGACATTGTGCTGAGCTTACATTTTTCAGTAAATATAGTTCCTGGATTCCCGCAAAACAGCCAGTTCTCCCAGAGCAGCCAGTACTAAAAGTTTTATCAAAAAGTCAGGTTAACCAACATGTGATACGTTATAACGTAACTGTATCTGGACCAGATCGTCTGGCGGTATATCTTTCTCCTAAGACGAATACAAAAATCGTGAATATAAGTCTAATAGAAAGACTGCCTTCGGAAAGAACCGTGTGGAACGATCGAGATATATTTTTTATTTTACATGTTTATGGTAAAGAACGAGCAGCTCTAAAATTTACTTTTGATGTTGAAGTTTCAACAAATGCCACTAATTTAACAACGGAAGTCGCTGTTGCAGGAATTTTTGTTCACGACGAACAAAATAATAAGACGGAGGAATATTCAGAGTTTTTGAACGAATTTCCTAGTTGGGCTGATGTAACAGCGTGGATTGGAAGTTACGAATCATTTTGGATTTAAATTAATAATAAGCATAATTGTGAGTATAGTTTTATCACTAATGTTTTGTAATAAGGGTGTAGATGACTACAGCAGCAGTGTGAGGTATTAAAAATAAATTTTATTAAAAAACTAATGTGTTGATCTAAACCCAGTTTCATCGAAGTCAAATGAAATAAAAAAATCAAATGCGTGAAATTTCAAAATCGACGTTATGTTTAAAAAAATAATACGGCGGAATGTGTTTATTCATAAGTAGTGATATATGTATTAAATTAAAAACTTAAACTAGAGTAACCGTATGATGTATTACCTTTTGAGACAATATAATGGACGTTACTACCTGGATTATTACTAGAATATAATTGGTACAGAAAAATTATGAACTACATTTCAAAGAAGTTGGTAAACAAATAAAAGAATTGTGGTGTCCCAATTTAAAAATTAAATTTCGCGCCGAGAAAAAAACGCATTTGCAAAATAAACAATCATCAATGGCAATCACCAGTGATTGGAACAATTACTTTTTGCACTTTGAAAATTTTGATGAAGACACAATTTTAGATATTTGTTGTATGGGTCCAAAGGGTCAAGAAAAAACGTGTTAAAATCAAAAAGGCAGTGAGTGATTTATTTTACTAACGCATTTGTTACATATTCACATTAGTAAATTAAATAAAACAAATAAATACTTCACGCAAGAGGACTACATTCATCATTTAAATTCAATAACAACTGAAATTTAAAATTTTCGTCAGCTAAGAAATGACGTTTTGTCTTCAAAACATTCGCGCCAACACTAAACATCCTTTCCACTGCGGCGCTAGATGGAATTGTTAATTCCACGCTAGCTACAAAAAAAGGTTCAATGCCAACTGCAAAAACTTTTAAACAAAAATTTGCGGATGCAAATCTTTTAAAAAAGGATATTCCTAAATACTTAGAAGGGGACTACAAGGTAATGTAAACTTAAAAGTCTGTCTTTAATTGCCTCTTACTCGGCGTTGACTTACAGATTAAATTAAGAAAACTTTAGAGGGTGGACACTCTCATAAAATTTTATTGTCGGATTATCAGGGGTTTAAAAGGACGGACTCGGGTTACCTGTTATCGATTTGAGTGGACCAGAAAAATGGCTAAAGTTTGTTTGACCACAAATTTTAAATATTCTGCCCGGGTTTCCTCAATTATTTATTAAGATATTTTATTTCTGTAAAGCGCAATGGATTTTTTAATACAATTTTTACTAATGTATCTTTTTAAAAATTCAAAATTGATCCATAAATAGCGAAAACCAGATAATCTCATACTAATCACAATTTTAACGCGTTTTCATTTTTTTTTTTGACAACAAAATTTAAGAAACGGAAAAGCAGTCTGGGTAGAGTTTTCTACGCTCATTCCAACGGTGTGAAGTTTAGTTACGACTATCGGACTATATAGCAAAAACTTGGGCAGAAGTTTATATGTATTTCCCTATGCTGGAATATGCTTTAACTCACCCTTAAAATGATGAAGAGCTTATGTATTGTGGTAACCCAAACTTCCCGCCTTTAAATGACCTTGAAAAAGACTGAAAGGCCCGCGAAAAATTCAAAATTTGGCCTTGGCTGTGATCGTCTAACAAAATGGAAACCTACGTTGTTTTTTTTTTTGAAAAGTGGCGAGAAAATGTTCTTTCATACAAGTGAGCGTACACTGCGTGTGAGTCGAGAACGCAAAAAATAATAGACAAAAATTTTTTTTGGAGGGGCTAAGATAACACCCCTCTCAGGAGGAAAGGAGCTGCGAAGATTCACTCCTCAGCCCCAAAAAAACCCTATCGTATATTCACGGACATATTACATTTCAAATGAAACACTTTAAAAATATGAAAGAAAAGACACTCGCGAATTGACAGACATACACATATGAAAAACGAACAAACGCAAAATCCTATACATCTGTTTGGAATCAATGCAAATATTTGAATATCACAAATTTAATAAAAACAAAGCAAAATCTGAATTAAGTAACTGGATGCAAATACGCAAGTTATTATGGGCGTGTGGCGTCAGATTTTAAAGTTACGGCAGTTAACAGGAGCACAACAAAAGTACCCCTGGGGCGTTCTAGCACAAACGGAGTTTGGGGCTACCGGTCGGGGCTGTTCTCCCCCCTCGACGGTGATTCTATGTATCGCAAAGCCTACCTAAACAGCACGTTACACGTCTCTAGGACGAACATGCCGTCCGAAGCTAGGCCGTTACGGTCACCAGACCCGCAGTCGGATCTCGGCTAAGGACAGAAGCCGAGAACGTTACAACATCGGCGGCCGCCCCTGAATCTATCCAAACTTGTGGACTTGTACAGGTGACACGATAAATTTCGCCAGCTCGACTAGGAACCGCACTTAGCTTCTGCCACGTTTTCTGTGTTATTTGACCTCAATTCCATTTTTAAATGTTCAATCTCTTATAACTCTGATATTAACAACAACTGAACAAGTGGTAAAGTTTCAACGAGCAATAAACAACCTTTAAATTCGCCATACAATCTTGAGAAGTTTTAAACAACAAATAATTCTTATGTGAGATTAAAATTGGACATCAAATAATTTATACGATGGAAACATTCATCAACAAAATATTTACAAAACAAAACTAGCAAAGATTTATAAAACAAAAGATCTGGTGTGAAATAAACTTGTGCAAATAAAAATATTACGTGAGGTTAAAACTGCTGTGAATGAAATTTACGTTCAATGAAAATTATACAACAAAGGAAAATTACTGCGGTTAAAATTGTGAGATTAGAGAAATATTGTATGAGGTGAAAATTTGCAAACTTAACAAAATTTACAACCTTAATACTTGACACACTTTGTCGACGATTCAAACAAAGAGTTTACATTAGGTTAAATTATGTCATGATCTAAGTGATTGGTTACTTAAAAAAAAAACAATTTACTTTGAGAATTTAAAACACCGCAAACTGGTTACCCCAACAAAACACATAATAAATAAACACAAAAATATCCAATCATCATTGCGAGAAAAAAGCGTTTTGGTGATATAAATTTTATAGTTGCGAGGAAATGCCTCGATGATGTATATTTTGGCGTTGCGAGGAATAAGCCTTGTTAATGTTATCAATCTCTAGCGTTGCGAGGACATGCCTCGATGAAGTAATCAATCTGTAGCGTTGTGAGGGCAAGCCTCGATGATGTAATCAATCTTTAGCGTTGTGAAGACAAGCCTCGATGATGTAATCAATCTTTAGCGTTGCAAGGACATGTCTCAGTGATGTAATCATGATAACGACGATAATAACGATGATAACCGCCTAAGGAAAGAAATTATTTTAACCCCCCGCCAGTTCGCATTATGAATTTTGTTTAACTGCCGTAAATGAACTATTAGCAATCTTGAAGGTAGCCAGGAAGGCGGCCTGATTCACTGCAGTAAAGTCCACTATTGCGAATAAATAAACATTCACATGAACAATGACAGTGAGAGAAAAATACTCTACATTTGGATACGGACTACGGACCCATCACTGTTTCTACCATGGGGTCATGTGCGTTTATCTCTGTTAAAGTTAAAATGTCCTGAATTTTAACTACAGCGCAACGAGTATTATAATTTTTACAAAGAATGAAACGAGAAGTTCAGAAAATGTCACGAATTGAAAAAAATTAAGTTGTGATAACCCAAACTTCCCGCTTCAAAATTTGACCTTGAAACAGTTTGAAAGGCCCGCAAAAATTTAAAAATTCAAAGTTTGGCCTTGGCTGTGATCGTCTAACAAATGAGAACCTACGTTGTGTTTTTTTTTTTTGCTTTTGAAAAATGGCGGGAAGAAGTTCTTTCATACAAGTGCATACACTGTCGAGAGCGCAAGAAATAATAGACAAAAATTGTTTTGGAGGGGGGGAAACGGCACCACCCTCACAGGGGGAAAGGCGCTGCGAAGATTTACCCCTCAGCGCAAAAACCCCCTTGGTTTTATTCCCGGACGACATTTTATTACATTTCAAACACCTTAAGATATGTGAAAGAAAAACACTCGCGAATTGACTGAAAGAAAAACACTCGCGAATTGACTGGAAGAAAAACACTCGCGAATTTACAGACATACACATATGGAAAACGAACAAACGAAAATTCTATACATCTGTTTGGAATCAATGCAAATATTGGAATATCACAAGTTTAATAAAACAAAGCAAAAACTGAATCAAGTAACTGGATGCAAGTACACAAGTTATTACAGGCGTGTGGCGGCCGATCTCCTTTCCTTTTTTTTTTTTGTTACGGCAGTTAACAGGAGCACAAGAAAAGTACCCCTGGAGCGTTGTGACATAAGCGGAGTCTGAGCTACCGGTCTGGAACTGTTCTCCCCCCGCGACGGTGATTCTATCTATCGCAAAGCCTACCCCACACGCATATCCCATGACGAACTTTGCCCTGCGGAACTAGGCCATTACGGTCGTCCAACCCGCAAGAGATCTAGGCTATGTACAGGAGCCTAGAAATTTACAACATCGGCGGCCGCCCCTGAATCTATCCAAACCTGTGGACTTGTACAGGTGGCGCGATAAATCTCGCCAGCTCGACTAGGAACCAAACCTCGCTTCTGCCACGTTTTCTGTGTCATTTAACCTCAATTCCATTTTAAAACATTCAATCTCTTATAACTCTGATGTTAACAACAACTGAACAAGTGTTAAAGTTTCAAAGAGCAATAAACAACATTTAAATTCGCCATACAATCTTGTGAAATCTTAAACAACAAATAATTCTTATGTGGGATTAAAGTTGGACATCAAATAATTTATATGATAGAAAACATTCATCAACAAAGTATTTACAAAACAAAACTTAGCAAGGATTCATGAGACGAAAGATCTGGTGTGAAATAAACTTGTACAAATAGAAATGTTATGTGAGGTTAGAACTGTAGAACATGAAATTTACGTTCAATTAAATTTATACAACAAATAAAATTACTGAGGTTAAAATTGTGAGATTAAAGAAATATTGTATGATGTGAAAATTTGCAGAGTTAACAAAATTTACATGAGATTAATTTTTGCCACACTTTATCAACGGTTCAAACAAAGAGTTTACATTATGCCAAATTATATCATGATCT